CGGCCCCGGGGGGGCGCCGGGACGAGATCGCCGACGGGCGAGTCGATTTAAGCCAAAATCGTGTGTGATGCAGTGAGTGCGTGAAATGCGGCGTTCGCAAGTAATCGAGTCACAAAGGGTTCACCTAAGGCTGTTGATCCTATAGGAACTCATTTTCAGACCCTCTACATGTTGGTCTTTAGCCCTTGCAACTAGAAGTTGAGTGCTTGAAACCACTCATGCGAGTTCTTCACAAAAATGAGTCAAGAAGTGGCTTGAAGTTCTACGGGAGGTGAGCTCCATTACTAGTCCACTAGGATGGTCAACAAGGAACTCCTAAGGCTAGATTATCGGTTATGGAAGTAGGAGACTAAGACCTCACTAAAAATGAGGTCAACAAGCCCTAGCTACAAAATTACAGCTCCTAATAAATAACAAGCATAAGTAATCCTTTCAATTAGAAAAAAACATTACTGTCCAATGCATGGTAATTTCCTAAACTATCTTAGAGTTCAGCTATAATTTAGCTGCTTCTGTAGTAGAGCAACATCTTCGGGTTTAGGCCTCACTAATATAAACATAGGAAGAGAAGCATAAATAAACATATAAAAAAATCATATTTCATAGTTTTCCAACTTCTATTTAACCAATGTCATCCCCTTGATGAAAATTAAAAAAAAAATTCATTCAATTCATATAATAATATTAAAGTCATCAAAATGATTAAAACCCAACGGTTGTGCGAGAATCAGACTGGACCTGGGACTTGAACCAATTAGACAGAGGAACCGGCCCTCAAACACTTGCAAGTTTAATTCAAAAACCATATTCAAGAAAATAAACCAAGTAAATAGAAGCAAGGACTTGAGGGCAACTAAAACAATATTGTGAAATTATGTGTTTCCTATTTAGATTTATCCTCATTTATTCTCTATTATTATGTTTGCAGTTCTTTCCTTATGTATTTGTTAGTTGGCTACTCCTCATGAAGAAAAATCTGAAACCACACAAATTTTTCAATCATCCAGTAGCATGATTTTTACTCCATTTCTATGCAAAATTCAAATTCTCAAACTGATAATGCAAATGAAAACTCGAACTCTATCATTGAAACCTACCTTATAAAGAATGATATCATTCATGTAAGTTTATGCATTAAAACTCCTTAATAAAACGGGATAACTGAGATAAAGAATAGACATCTCCTTAAGGTATCAAAGTTTATCATGCTCTCTTATAATGTCCCAAAAAAATTCTGAAGAGATCTCGTACTAACAGTAATCTACCTCATTAATAAAATGTCAAGTTGAGTTATTGCTTCAAAGCCCCTCTAGATAATTGTGACGAGAAAATACCTGCATGCCTAGGGTTGTAATTGAGCTGAGTCGAGTCGAGTATATCATAGTTTAGACTTAGCTTGGTATAATTATAAGTTGTTCATGTTCAGTTTGAGCTTGTGTCGAGCTTCCATATATTGTTCAAGCTTGACTTGTTTAAAATTTTCAATGTTTGAACTTAATTTGATTATGACAAATGAACGACTAACTAATCGAGCTAATAAACAAATTAAAAATTCAAACGAGTATCTAGATTTTCATATAAAAAATAAATAAATAATTTCACAAATTTGATCGCACCTAATAATTTATTGATTATATAAAAATGAAGGGTAAGTCATAAACCATGATTATATGAGATGTGATCTCTCATATTTTTGCATGATCATACTTCCAAGTTCGCATCCAATTCCAACATTCAGATGAAGGTGTTGATCTTCCTATAGTGATATGCATTTGTCATTTTCCTAGCTTTTTTGAACAATTTGGTGGATGTATTTTATATTGAGTTGTTGATCCATTCTTATTCTTAATTATGTATAACTTACAATGATTACACTGCAATTTCTCAACACCACATTTTAATCAGGTGAGATTTATGAGATTGGAAATATACGAGAGACTAGAGTTTTAGAGATCCTTGCACACCATGATCTTGTTGTTGCTTGCACGCCCTAAAATAAGGTTTCATATGTTTTAGACGAAACTATGAGACACGAAACTATGATAAGCTGAAGAGAAAGTGATGTTTACGATGATTGAAAGGTAATTTTAAGGGGCATTTCATACATACCACACAAGTCTTATGTATTTTCACATCTAACACCTAAAATTTAATAAAATAAATGTCGCACAAAATTTGACCCAAAATCTATCAAATGTATCTTTCTAGGATATTCTTCTTATAAAAAAGTTATAAGTGTTATTTTTTAATTACGACAAAATACTATAACTCTATGGATGTTAGCTTCTTTGAAAATCAACTGTATTATCCTAAATTTGATATTCAGGGGGGAGAGTCCAGATGAACATCAGACTTGGGACTCCACACAGACCTAGAGTCACCACAACCCACTCAGGTTCCCTAAACTACTATGAATATCCACTGATATAAAGTCATCACAACCTATTACCCTTCCCTCCAACCATCTTGCTTCCCAAAATCCTCGGTTGAGAAAATCCAATAGGAGCTTTTAAAATAAAAAACCTTGCGTGTATACAAGGAGAAATAAATTCACTGAGTAAGACAAAGAGAAGATGCAACCACAGAATTGTCCACAATCAAACCTGAATTCACACACCTCCGAGGTTACAAGGGAAGTGGAATTTAGCGAAGAAGACCGAGAAAGTTGCACACATAATCCTATCCACGAGTGTTGCCTATGGAAAGTTATCAATTTACAAAGCATATGTATCTAATCTTGACAGTGTACCAATACCAAAGTCAATTCTTAAAGCACTTCAAACTCCATAATAGAAAAAGGAGGTAGAAGAAAAGGTCCAAGAACTTAAGCTAAATATTACGTGGACCCTTACAAAACTTCCTCCAAACAAAAGACCGATTGGATGCAAATGAGTGTTCAATATCAAGTACAAAGCAAGGCTAGGTTGATGGTCAAATGTTTCACTTAGACTTATGGGATTCTTCTCTCCTTCGTAGTGAATAAAGAGTGAGACCTGCATCAACTTGATATCAAAAATGTGTTCTTGAATGAAGACCTAAAAGAAGTGTATATGGAAATTCCCCCATTATTAGAAGATGACTCAATTAAACATCAAGTGTGCAAACTAAAAAAGTCACTATTGTCTGAAACAATTGCCAAGGGCTTGATTTGACAAAACTATAAAATAAAATGAGTACATCCAATGTCAAATGGATCATACACTTTTCATAAAAATACACAAGGAGGTAAAAAAGTGATACTCATTGTCTATGTTGATGACATGATCCCGACGGGTGACGACGACCAAGAAATTGGAAAGATTAAGGAGGTTATTGCTACTAAATTTGAAATTAAAGATCAAAAGGCAATGAGATATTTTCTGGGCATGAAAGTGTCTAAGATGGGTATTGTGATATCCCAAAGACAGTGTATCCTAGACCCATTAAAAGAAATATGAATACTAGGGTGCAAACCTACCGAGACTTCTATGGATTTCAACAAAAAATTACAGTCAGAGGGAAAAAAGACATCAGTGAAAAAAAGGTATACATAAGAGATTGGCGAGTAAGTTTCTCTATCTATCACACATTAGACTTGGCATCAGTTACTCTGTCAGCATAGTGAGTCAACATATGCACAATTCAAATGAAGATCATTTGGAGAATGTGTGTAGAATATTAATATTTGTTAAGAATACCTTGACAGAGGATTATTTTTTAAGAAATCTAATAACATGGATGTAGAGTTGTACACTGATGTTAGCCGAGTAGGAGAACTCATTGACAGAAGATCCACCTTTGGGTACTATTCCTAAGTCTAGGGAATGACATGGAGATTACGGGATGCCCGGTTGACTTGGCCAGAACAGGTCCTGGTCCCGGCCCCGGCCCCGGCCCCGGCCCCGGTCCAGCAAAAGGCTGGACCTTCATGTGAAGCGGGAATTGTCGCACCTTCCCCATCCTACTTGCATATTCTATTTCCTTCTATAGAGGGAATTCCCTTCCTATTCTATTTCCTGCATTTTTCTATCTCCTTCCAATTCTAATTCCTTCCTTTCTCTATTTCATTCCTATTCCATCTCTTTCATTTTCTATTACTTATTGTTTCTATCTACTAGCACCTATTATATATAGGTTACTTTGCTTGCTTAAAAGGGTCGTGATTTTGTCGTTGATTTCAGTTTGCTGCCTCTAAGGTGTTTCTCCCTTCCTAAGTCTGTATCCGGCGGCGAGAAGGTGCTGCAGCTGTAACTGATGTGAGGTGGTAACTATCTCAACTCGTTTCATCTCTTCCGACTGTTGTCCAATCCACCGCCAACTTTTCCCGCTGTTGTCCAGTCCACCACATAAGTAACATCTAATTTTAGCCATAAGCTCTTAGGATTTCAGCTACCAAATCACAGTTCAGGAAAGAAAACAAAATGCAGAAGCACTTTTTTAACTTCTCTCTCACAATAATATCTAGCAGCTAAGTAGCAATTCAATAAATTAAGTTAAACAAAGAACGTGGAAACAGCAACCATTGAAAATCTTTAAACAACAAATCTTGGAAATTGAAAAATAAATAATAATCAAGGAAAAGAAGTGACAGCTCATTACTCTTTGGCTTTTCTGTGGACCATACTCAGATGGGTCGAATGAATCATAGTGAGAAGCATACTTCTGTCCAATCTCATATCGAAGAATATTGAAGGCCTGAAACATGGTCATAGCCCTGAATATTACTTAGAAAGTTTCAGAATCATTATAAAGTTATGAATTTCTTTCACTAGGTATGAGAGCAATTTCATTCACTATAAAATGGAACAAAACGCCATAACCAGTAAAATTATAAGAGTTCATATCATTGTTTTTATTCAAAACAATGAATATCAATAAGAACTAGAAAATAGCTAGTGTGCTTTATTCCAAAGAGTAAAAAATTTATGCAATTCTATGAAAAATTTTAATAGGAAACATGAAAATAGAAAATAGAATCAACTAAATTATAAGAGTTCATATCATTGTTTTTATGCAGAAAAATGAATATCAATAAGAACTACAAAATAGCTAGTGTGCTTTATTCCGAAGAGTAAAAAATTTATGCAAGTCTATGAAAGGTTTTAATAGAAAACATATGAAAATAGAAAATAGAATCAACTATTAGAGATATAAGGGTCTATCTATGCAACACAACATGACACAACCCGGATATGTATACGCGGCAAAATCAGAGAGTACGACATGACATACCATGGGCAGGATGTTAAAGGAACTTCTAATCGTTAGTGAAGGTGCTTCAAACAAAATTATATAAGATGCATAAAAATATAGGGCTTGCTTGGGATCAATTTTATTATTTGTTTTCGATTTTTTCTTTTATTTATTTTTAAATTTGTTGTGTGAGTTTCTTTATATATTTTTGTTTTTTTTGTTTCTAAAAACAAAATAACATGTTCTTGAAAACACACAAAACAAAATTTAAGGGCCCATTTGGCATTTTTTTTAGTTTTGTTTTTGAAAATATGTTTGAATAGTATAATTTCTATATGCTTTTTTTTTTTTTTTTAAGAAACAGATCACTTTACTTTTAAAAACACCTACAAGATATTTTGAGTATTTTTAAAAACAACTACCACAACTATACGTGCTTTAATTTAAATCAAAACATAAAAAAAATAAAATAAAAACAAAAAATAAAAAAATAAAACACAAAAGTGATCCCAAACGAGGCCAAGTGTTTTGAGTATTTTTAAAAACAAGCATACTTTCATCAAATAGCCAAACATGTTTTGTTTCAAATTAAAAAATAAATAAAACAATAAAAAATAGAAAATAAAAACAAAAGTAATCCCAAATGGCCCCTTAACATTTAATTTAATGCAACAACTACCATTCATATAATCCATTGCAAACTCAAGTAGAGCTGAATCTTAATCCTCACATTAATTCTCAATGGGCCATGAGTTTTGAGTATTTTAAAAACAACCATCTATAATCAAATAGCTTTTATTTCAAATAGAAAATAAAAAATAAAAGTAATCCCAAACGGCCCTTTAACATTTAATTTAATACAACAACTACCATTCATAATCCTTTGAAAATTCAGCTAAAGGTCTGTTTGGGACAGCTTTTTGGCTACTTTGCTTTCCAAGCCTTCATCGCAGTTGTGTTTGGGGAACTATTTTATTGCTGTTTTCTAAAAATTTATGTGGTAGAAAGCTGCTTCTTTTCAAACTAACCTATTAAAGTGTGATGGTTGCTAGAAAGCTACGGTGATTTTTTAAAATTAAATAAATTTGTAATAATCATCGCAACTTTCTGAACAATAGTTTCTTCTGCAGCAGCTACCCCAAACATACCCTAAATCTTAAGCCAAGTTAAACCTAACATTAATTTTCAAGGCTTTTTAATACATTATAAGATAAGATAGGTGAGTTGAACCAAAGAATTTCTTATTTTTAGAATTGAACTTCCCTCATGGGCAAATCTGGCATTTGCATGGGCTACAAAATTCTTCATTCGTTTGGTGAAGAGAGGTATAACAAGTCACATTTCACTCATTTCTAAATAATATAAGAGCTAAAAAATGCGTTCGTGTAGAACGTTTTATCGGAGAGATTGGAGAATCAACCCAATTCTCAGGTATAGTCCAACAGCTTTAATGTTGCCAAGCCTAGCCGCTACACAGTCGCATACTTCACATAGCATGACAGCAAGATGGTTAAGGAATGCATGGAAAAACAAAAAACTGATTAAAAAAAAACATTTCAAGACTAACTATCTTAAAGTGCCGGAGTGAAAAATGTTATCCACAAATAGTGCAAAAAGAAGAGTCTCCCTCTTAATGGCACACAGGCTTGTTTATTTTCTCAATCAGAAGTTGTACCTTGAATCAGGGACCATCATTGCATGGGATAAATGAGGGGAATTGAAGAATTTGAAATAACGTGAACAAGAAAAAAAATATAAGAAAATATATTAGGGAAGAAATATGAAAATAATTTGTTCTGTTTCCAACTTCATATTTTCTCTTTATCATTGAGGCTGTAATTGGTGGACAAAAAGGATGATAACTTCACATATGATTTGTATATATGAAAATAGCCTACATGGATAAGGCCCCGTGCATAATCCCTCCTCAAATTTTGTGTTAGTGGAAGCTTCATTCTAGATAATGATTTCTATATGTTAAGAAAGGTAGAGGTAGGCCTAATAAAAAGATTAAGGCATTGCATAAAAATTTATCTTAATTTATTAGAATAAAATGATAATATGACACTCAATAGAACACAATGAATAAAAAGAATTTATGGAGCCAACCTCACTTCGGGTCCGTTTGGGATAACTTATTTGGTGCGGTGACGTTTTGAAAACACACCTGACCTGTTTAGGTAAACTGCGTTTTGACAGCTTATGCGTTTTCAAAAAGCTGAAAACAACGTTCTCGCACCGCACCTATCTAGGTACGGTGGCAGCTTTCTGGCAACGTCTGGCTTTTTCAAAAAAATAAAAATTTGTAATAGTCATCGCACCTAACTTATCAGCAGATTATTTTTAATAAGCTTATCAGCAGATTATTCAATAAGCTGCAGCTGCTCCAAACATACCCTTAGTGAGATAAAAGCTTGTTATTGTTTGTTTTGTTTGTTGTTAACAGTCCATCGACTCTCAAATCTGATCTAAAATAATCCAATAGAGAGATTCTTTTGAATTATATTTGAAGAGTTAAGAAAATATATTAAATGCATTTGAAAGCTAGAACTAACAATGACCACAAGAGTCATTTTAACATTTTCTCCTCTTTTTTAAGATTTTATCTGCCTACGTGTATTGAACTTGGTTAAACCCAGGCATTACAATGAACAGATGAGAGGTTTAGGCATAATTTAACTGAGAAAAAAGAGACAAATAGAGAAATATTCCCGTCAACGAGGGTAAATTTCAGTATAAAAATAGGTATAATCAAGTGGATCGATATACCTCTCCATGATCTCTTGGGATCATTGTTGCTCTGGCAATCTTCTCCTCAATGTATTTTAAGGTTTCTGTTGGATCTTCAGATGCACTTAGAAATGTACCTGAACTGTTGCATGAAGAAATAACTATATGACTATAGTGCTGAGTACAAGCCTTTCAATACTCAAACAAAAAATTCTGGGCACATATAAATAGAAGGAAAAACAAAGTTATTAACCTAAAAACAAGAATATGATGTTATAAACAAATCATATAAATATAATATACTACATGCTAAAATAAGAAAAGCAAAGCCTGTTTTGATGTTATCATAAAGCTAGAATCAATAGACTTAGAACATAAGCTCATAGATCGAAGTGCAGGAACAACTAGGCCTGTCAAAAAAGGTCGTCGTCCTCGAACAACTTGTGTTCAACTTGTTAAATAGCTCATATTCGATTCATTCGTTAAGGAAGAGAGCTTAACACGAACAAAGATTTGTTCATTCATGTTTGGGTCAGTTTTTGTTTGAAATAATTAAATAATTAAATAATAATATTTATTTATATCATTTTTAAATTAATTTTTCATATGTATTAAAAAATGCTAAATATTTTTATTTTTAAAAATTATTTTGGTGGTATAATTATAAAAATATAAATGTTGGCGTTAGATATGTAAATAAATAGAATTTGGTTGGCATACATGTAAATGTCTCTAAAAATAGAGAATTATTATATAATGCATGAGTTAGGTGGTATGTATGTAAATGGAATGTGATTTAATGTTGCCGACTGGCCCGCCTTTTTGTCTTTTTTGCAATTGGCGTAAGAATTAGAGTGGCATGTATGTAAACGAGAGGGCTGCCGCATCTCCTATTTAGTCACATCATATGCAAAAGAAAAAATTCTCATTGCAATCCCAAATAAATGCAAAAACAAAAAAAATATAGAACGATTACCACTTCATGTGATCACAGATTCATGAAAAGGGGTTAATTCCTTTTTTTTATTTATAGCAAATAAAATAATGAAGGCTCTAGAGCTCAAAATCGAGCAGAACATTAGCTAATTTGAACAAGTTCGAATTTGAATCGATCTAACCACAAACATAGTATTCATAAGCTATTTCGAACATAAGTTCATTTCGAACCAAAAAAAATTTAAACGGGCCGAAAACGAACAAGCTCTAGGCTTGCTCATGTTCGGTTTGTTTACACCATTAGTAACAGCCTTACAATCTTACATTGAAAAGTCTATTTTTTATATTAGTTTGAAATTAGCCTTTAAAAAACCCTTGTGTATTTTTACATAAATAATAATAAAAGGCAAACAAGAAGAATAAAGTGAATGTTATGGCACAACCAAAATGGGTAAAATAATTATTTTTTAAAATATTTAAATAGTGAAGACCTTTGTTTTCCAAAATGGATGCGGGGCAAAAAATTCTTTTTATGATTTTAAATACACAACAACATATCCAATATATTTCTTTATTTTTTATTATCAATTCAATGATTTTTACAAAAAGATTATAATTTTTACTTACCCAAGGAATTTTCTTAAACCATCGACCACATGCAATCAACATTCAAAGCATATGCAAATTAATTTCACCAAAAAACTACCATGAGTAAGTAGTAAAGGTTAACAAAAATGCTGCGAGGAAAAATAAAGTGTAATCTGATATATCATGATTTAGCCCCCAACTGGCTTTCGTCCACTCCTCGGGTCCTCTCAATTTTTTTTAATATTTTCTCATTTGCTATCGTAAGATGAAAAAGCTCTCCCCTTCACATGTAATGGAGAAACCTTACAACACTTTCACTTGAAAGCAAGACGCAAGTCACTCATAGCACAACTCATTAGAAAATCAACCATTTCTAACGTCACTTACGAAATCCAAGATAATCCAGTCAAGAGCAACAAACAAGGGCCTTGAAAACTATGCAAGGTGTTAAGAAAAGAGATGATTTTGTTTAGGGATCACTCGCTTTAAGAATATCTCTCGAGGGTTTTCAATAGCTAGAGAGTCTCTTGTTGTTGGCCTCATTCTAAGTTCCCAATCTATCAATAGACAATAACATCTTCTATTATATTCAATAGTTAATCCGTAAAACATATTAAAAAATATGCTAGTGGTTGATTGTACATTACATCAATATCATACAAAACAATAAGTTCAATTCTAATTGCACAAACCATTGAAAATTGGCATGTGATTACTTGAATTTAAATTAAAAATAGATCATAAAGATGGCATACCTCACACAACATGATTGATTCAAATTTCATAAAATATATAATTCATGCATATTGATACTGTTGATTTGATTCAAATATTAAGATATTGTACAAGACAATTTGCTCAAATTTTAGTAATTGAAATTAATTCACCTTGATCATATTAATTTATTTCAATATTAGGTCATATCATATGGTAGTATATATATATTGTAAGATCAATTTAGTTAATTATCATAATCTCTGAACTTATCAAGCTGTTTAATTTATTCCATCTGAAATAAAACCTTGTCGTACAGTACAACGCCTGATCAGACTGTGTGATAGCTCTAAAATTTTCAAATTTGCTTAAAAAACTGACTTTCAATTTTATTTGTTTGTGTGCTGGCCATCTTAATATTCCTAAAACCAAAAAAAGACAATTACACATGGCTCAAAAATAAATATTATACTTCTGCACTTTGAAGAATGAAGATTGATCTTGACAGCGGCAGAGCTAACTTGAGTTAATTGGGCCATTGAATTCTCTTAAAATATAAATGTGTTCCAACGTGTCTTTTAATCTTAATATGCTAATTTAAGCTTGACCTAAAATAATTTGGCTCGCACCTACATCAACCTTAATCAATAATTTTAGTTTGTGTCAAAATATATTTGTAATTATCAAAACATTAATTATAAGCTTAAGCACAATGAGCTAACATGAACCAGGGTCATAACAAATATGATGATGTCAATAACATGACTGTATCCAAGAAAAAGTAAACATGAACTCTTAAAAAATTAAGCTAGACTATAACATGAAGAATGTCATACTGTGTAAATAAACACAGGCACAGTTGTCAAAAGAAAGTAAATTATCATGTGTTGGAACATTCACATTGACAAAGAGAGAGTTTATTATCTTTATATTGAACAAAAATCTCGCACATACATAAATAAGAGAATAACAGCTCATAAGGATCATGAAGTGCTTTACATAAAAAACTAAAAAAAAAAAGACAATGAACCCAATTAAAATGATTATACTAATGTAAGATGTATGTTAAAAAAATGCCCCTCTTCGTAACGGGGAGAAGACATTAATGCAATATAATAAACAGAAATCATGAAAAATGTCTTCTATAGTAGAAATAAAAGGAGCCCTAAGACATCAAATTTATTATGATAATTAATGGTTTGTTTGATCATTCTCATCAAAAGGGAGAAGATAGAAAACTAGAATGGCTAGCATCAGCTTTAATAGCAACAATAGATATCATCCATAGTGGAAAGTTGGGTGACCAAAACGGTGGCGATGTTGAATCTCTACATTACTAGTGGCAGCTGACACAAGCAATGTCAGTGATAGTGCCTATGATTGTCGTTAGTAATCATGACAATGGTGGATGTCGAGAACATTGCCAGTGACAATATGTGCCAACCTTGGAGGTTACAACAAAAACAATCTTTGGTGGCAACAGTGGGCATGGTCTTTGATAGCAATTGCGGACAGCAACCTTAGTGCAGCAAAGGGCACCATTGATATTGACGATGGCGGGCATCAGAGATTGTAGCGACGACAGACATTGTTGATTTTAAAAAAAATAATAATAATAATAATTCAATATAAACATTTAAGAAAAAAATGAAAATGCAATACAGTGCATTCATGAGTGCATAGCACAGGCTGTCCGTGCCCATTATTAAGGGGAAGAGGCAAGAAGCTGACCCTTAATGCATGCACGTAAGGTCATTTATGGGTTAAAATAAGCCATTTGAGATGTTTTGAGACCACTCAGTTTTGGCTTTTTGGGAATTCTGACACTTGAACAATTTAATGCTGAATTTTTTGACAGTTACTGCATGAAAAAAAAGGTGTCAACTTGACTAAAGCGAGAGAATACAACCAAGAAATAATTACTTAATTAATGACACCAATGGAATGTTTTCTGATGAAATTAATAATGATCCCCGACACTGGCAACATCTAGGATTCCTCAAACAATGTCAGGATTATTTCTCAATACTACTTGATAATGATTCTCTCTCTACATGTAAAAATTTATAAGCAAACAAAATTAAGGTAAGCATTATTTCTCCAAGCCTAATGAGTGCAAATATTCTTTGAAAGAATCAAAGAACCTAAATTAGATCTAAGTTTTGAAAGTTAGTTGTATGAGGTGAATAAAAACATTAAAATCAAATATATTACCACCCTACATGAGAAAAGATGTAAGCAAAAATTATAAAATCAAATAAAATATTTTAGAATATGTACCAAATTTTAGCCAAAGCATAGCCACCAGTGAAATCAAGTGCAATATGTAATGTTAGTTTGTGCATCATAGAAGTATCTAAAAGCTCAAAGTGAAAAAGATATAGCATTCACTATGAAAATTTTCAGGGAACCAAACGAAAATAACAAAACACCACATGCTATGGATGAAGCAAACATAAAATTCACCAAACCAATACTGCCATCATTCTCAAATATAATGCCATCACAGGCAAATTATTATTCATTAACATATCTTTAATTTTGATGGTACTTCATGGTTTACCGTTTCATTCACATCGAAGAAGTTAAGTTTTGAAAGCGCATTCTCTAGTAATTGATAGTAGAAATAGATGGTCGTGCATGCACAAACAAGATTATAAAACTGCTCTCATTAAATAAGTAGAAAATTTGTATTGGAGGAATTGAAAAGAAAAGGAAGATCTAAATACATCGAATGCAACTTGTTCAAATAGATTTACTGACAATAATTTTACACAACTTCCAGGGCCAAAAAAAAAATGAATGCTAAATGAAATTTTCAAAAGTTCAAACAAAATAATTTCTTAAGGTTAATAATGATTATGACGACAGTATTATAAAAACAACGTTGAAAGATAGTGCTCCTACATAATGAAAGCCTTTGTCCATTAATAAAAACATGGAAAAGGATTTGACCTTGTTCTTATCCCTTTTGTGCTCTCCTCAGTTTCTCCCTTGCGCAGGGCTAGGGAGGATGGTTTTAGCTTTGACCTGGCAATTTTTATTATTGCCTGACATTGCTCTGCTGTTGCAAACTTGGGAAAATATACTGCTCGTGGTTTCCAGCTTAAAACCTGCAGCCAAGCATACAAAATGTAGAATATCAAATCCCAATGCAGAGTTTTCATACAACTTTCATGTGCATGGTTACACATTAAAAAGAAAAATTAAATAATAATTAAGTTATCAACAAGAAAATGGAAATTTGCATCAAACAATAACAGTTAAATTTCATGTTAACCAACACATAGATGTTTACAGCACATTTTTATTGCATAAAGAGAAGTAGGCAAAGAGAAATTTATCTTGGAAGGATATTATTTCTTAGGCCAATGCGTAACTTGGGATACATGGTACTAGTAGTTTCACCACATGAAAAGTGAATTGTTGACTTAGCATAGCATAGTGATCAAAAAATACATAGACAAAACCATGCTCATATTGTAAGTTCTGTTAAGTCGGTATGGAGATTTACTTCCTCATTAGTTTTCCTTATTCTCATCTAACTGATTTCCCTCTATAATGATTAGCTATGAGACATCCAGGTTATCCACATGGCCTAATCTCTTCAATTATATTTCCTAATGTTGAGATACTCTATCTTTTGTATTCAAGAAATACTGTCATTGCCGGGTCCTGACTCCTGGATGTGAAAAGTAGAGAGTTGTGTTATGTAGTGACAGACAACGTAAAATTTGTCGAAAAATTATAACATGGAACTTTTTTATCATTGTGTAAATGCTAGGGCGTCCCCTAGAAATGACACGTTGTATGACCTGAATTTAGTGAAAAGTGCGTAAGAGCAGGTACACCGTCGCCCAGATGTAGTATCAAATAAGCAAGAGTTTCCATAGTACAGACGGAAGATGGTAAAAAACTTAGTTCATGAAACTAATATTAGAATATGATCTTAGAATATAGACACTTTCATAGATAAATTAATCGAATTAATTGATATTATGATTCATAAGAAAATAAATATCTTATGTATTCAAAAAACTAAATTGGTTGGAGAAAATTCTAAGAACATTGATAGCTTAGGTTTTAAACTTTGGTATTTTACTAAGAGTGACACGAAAAATGGGGTAGGTGTAATTATAGATAAGAGCTTGAAAGATAATGTTTAAAAAATTAATAGAATTGGCTAGAATTATAGCCGCAAAGATTATTGTTAATACTAAGATTTTTAATATTATAAGTGCTTATGCTCCTTAAGTAGGTTTAGACATATGTTCTAAAAAAAATTCTAGAATGATTTAGAAGACTTAATACAAATGATACCTCTTAAAGGAAGATTTTTTATTTGAGGAAACTTAAATGGACATGTTGGTAAAGTGATAGAATATTTCAGAAATATTCATGGTGGCTATGGTTTATAAGTGATTAATGAAGAAGGTAGAATGAAGGTGATTAATGAAGAAGGTAGAATCATATTAGATTTTACTTTAGCGTATGATTTTATTATTGTTAATATTTTATTCAAGAAAAGATATTCATGGTGGCTAATATTTTATTCAAGAATGTATCTAATAAAACACAAATTGATTATATTCTTATGAGAAGAAGAGATCGTCAATAATGTATAAATTGTAGTGTCATTCCACGTGAAGATTTAAGAGCTCAACATCGATTATTAATTTTGTATTTTAAGATTAAGAGTTGTAAAATAAAGAAGATTATGAATCATTATCATATAATTAGATTGGGGCACCTAAAAGACAAATAAAATTATTTCTATTTGTAAACTTCAAGATTTCAAGATTTGGGATGTTCATGAAGAAGAAAGTCTATGTGAAATAAAGTAACAAAAAATATTAAACAAGTGACAAAAGATATACTTGGAGAATCAAAAGAAAAAATTTTCATAAATAAAAATAGTTTGTGGTGGGATGACACTGTACAAGAAAATGTAAAATATAAGAATTAATGTTATAAAAATAGGTTTAAATGTAAAGCTTAGAGAACTGAAAAAAATATAAAATAACTCGTAAAGAATCCAAGAGAACAATCTGTGATGCTAAAAATTATGCTTTTAGTGATCTTTATAATATATTAGAAACTAGAGAGGATGAAATATATATATATATATATATATAAACTAGCCAAAAAAAGGAAAAGAAAAACAAAGATTTAACTTAAATGTATTAAAGATGAAAATCAAAGTGTTTTTCTTGGAAAAATATATTCAATATAGGTTGGTGTGTTATTTTGATAAAATTTTCAATGAAATTTCTAAAATTACGATCAACCTTAGTGATCTTAATATCATTAGTAATAATAAAATGTTTCATTTTTACTGTCGCATTAGTAAAAAATAAGTTGATGGGGTTTTAAAGAAAATCAAGGATAGAAAGTCTGTAGAATCTAATGATATCCCAATTGGAGTGTATTAAAGATGAAAATATATTTTCTTTCTTGGAAAAGGATATTCAACATAGGTGGTGAGTTATTTTGATAAACTTTTCAATGAAGTTTCAAAAGTTACGATCAATCTTAATGATCTTAATATCATTAAGAAATAATAAAATGTTTCATTTTTACTGTCGCATTAGTTAAAAATAAGTTAAATAGGCTTTAAAGAAAATAATGGTAGAAAGTTTGTAGAACCTGAAGTGTGGAAATATTTATGAGATTTGGGAGTTTCTTGACTTACTACATTCTTTAATACTATTTTAAAAACTAAAAAGAAGTTTGAGGTATCGAGAAAGAGTATATTGGTCCCCATTTTTAAGAATAAATAGGATGCACAAAAGTGTGCAAATTATAAAGGAATTAAGTTGACGTGTCGTACTTCAAAATTATGAGAGAAGGTAAATTGAAAATAGATAAAACATATTACAGAGATTTCTCATAATCAGTTTGGATTTATGTCGAGCAGATCGACTATGAAAGCTATACATTTATTGAGAGGTTTGATGGAGAAGTACATAGAGAATAAGGAGGATCCATATATAATTTTTTTTTTATTTAGAAAAAACTTACGATAAGATTCCAAGAGATACCCTTTGGAGAGTTACTTTGGAGAGTTATAGAGAATATAGAGAATAAAGGTGTTGATATGACTTATAATCAAGTCATTAAAGATATATGTACTAGAGTTGTTACTTGCGTCCGAACAGAAGTAGGACTTACTAAATATTCTCCTCTTTCAGTTGGATTACATCGGGATCAGCTTTAAGCCCATATTTTTTTGTTTTAGTTATGTATGCTCTTACTGGACATTTACAAGAGGATGTACCTTGGTTTATGCTTTTCGTTGATGATTTCCTTCTTGTGAATAAGACTAGGGAAAAAACATAGAAAAAACTTGAATTATGAAGGTCTACATAGAAGTATAAAGGCCTTCGTTTGCATAAAACTAAAACTGAATACATGGAATGTAATTTTAGTAGTGGTAGCTCTAGTGATAGAGTTTTAACTATAGGTGATCAAATTACTAAAAGGTGTGAACGTTTTAGATATCTCGGATCTATTCTTCAAAGTGATGGTGATATAGATGGGGATGTTCTTAGTAGAATTCAAGTTGGTTGGTTGAAGTGGAGGAATGCTTCGGGCCTATTGTGTGATAAAAAAGTATCGCTTAGACTGAAAGAAAAATTTTATAAAATATTGGTGAGACCTGCAATGCTCTATGGCACAGAATATTGGCTTTAAAAGAGAAGCATAAAACTAAGTTAAGTGTTGCCGAGATGAGAATGATTAGGTGGATGAGGGGCTTTACACTTAGAGACAAAATGCGAAATGAATATATCGGTGATATGAATGGTGTAGCTCCAGTGGAGGACAAAATTAAAGAGAGTCGTTTTAAATGATTTTTCCATATTAAACGTCGACCATCTGATGATACGGTTCAGAGAGTAAATGGTTTAGATTCAACTTATGTTAAGAAAGGCAGAGGTAGACCTAGGAAAACTTGGGCATATTGTATAAAAAATGATCTTAATTTATTAGAATTAAATTAAAATATGACACTCAATAGGACACAATGGAGAAAAAGAATTCATGTAGCTGACACTACTTAGTGGGATAGAGGCTTGTTGTTGTTGTTGTTGTTGAGACACTCTATCACCCGATAATATCAATAAGATGACATGAGGGGGCGGACTTGCATTGTATAACAGTGGGTGGATGTTTTCACAATGAAAATAAAGGAGCAAGGCAAAAGGACATAATCCAAATGAGGCAACATTAGCTAGTTGAAAAAGGAATTGTCAATAGAAAAACAATGGATATAATTCAAATCAAATAGAGGAATGTGCAAATGTTGCAAGTAAAGAGATCTACAATACAATAGTTCTTAATAAATATAGTTTTATGGAGCCTTCGATTATTTACTCGGAGTTTATGATTGACAATTCTTTGAGGGATTGCAAGAAGCTTCATCTTGTTAAAGGCGAATCCAATCCTTTTACATCATGAGGGTTGATGATGTGAAAATCGAGACCATAAAAAATGCTATGTAATAGCTTCAAAATATGAGACATGCTCCAAGCTTAAAGAGTAACATGAACCTAATTGAATACCTAAATGAAGCAGATTGCTTTTGAGCTTATGTACCAAAAGTGTTATGGTGAAAGCATGGCCAAGCAATAATAGGACCATGTGTATGTGTTAAACACCAAAATAGTGGGAAAAAAATATGATTTTTTTTTTTTGCTATTTATTCTAGAGGTGTAGCATGAGATAAAGTTTATCAAGTAGGAGCTTTCAAAGGGCGAGATGACATTGCAATAAAAACTTTAAGCTTTGTACAACTGGTTGAATTCAGAGTGACTGAACGATGATATAACATTAACAAAGAAAATATCTCAATCAACCCAAAGGTTGATTAAGACGGGTGCCACCAAAAGATGATATGTCTCAAAGGATTGCACATTAAGGATTAATCACCAAGTGGAAGATTATAAAACTAGTGCAAAGATTTATTTCATTATTAAATATCCTTATTCTCCTCAAATTGGTTCCATTGATATGTGAATAAATAATAAATTTTATAGATTTATTCATATGGCCTAATTTCTTCAATTCAATTATATGATTCATAATTTCAGGATCCTTCACTAACAAATACTATCCATCGAAGGACGTGATCTGGTTGACTTAAGCTTTATACAACAGGTTGTTTTCAGAGTGAAAGAAAAGAATGTTAAAAGAAACTTGTGGCTTGGGACTTTTTGTTTGCTTTTGCGAATTTGTTTTCTATAAGTGAAATTTAAGAGAGAAATTAAAAGCGGGATGATAATAAAAAAAGCTAGTGAGAAAAAAATAACAAAAAAATAATAATTTTTTTTAGCAACGTGAACATTTATATGCTATGATTTGACTCTAGATTAGTGTAACTAATCTCTCAATATGAATGTAGATGAAGGTAAATTTCATTAAATCATATAAATCTCTAGTCTTGATTTATTTAATGTTTCTCCTTGCAAAAAGCTTTATTTCTTGCAATTTGTTATGTCACTAACCCAACGCACACTTCTCCCCAAAAAGGTTCTTCAAGCATAAAACACATTGCAAGTTATGTCAAAACCAAATGACAATTAAAGGTTTATTTGGTTGGGAGTTATTTAGATGCCAGTGAAGTCTTTTAAATATTGCCCGTTTAATTTGGTGTTAATTTAAGAATACACTATGATATTTTACAAGAGGTCAGTGAGAAAGATATTGCTTCATATAAATGTCAATAGTTTAGGACATAGATGACATTTATATGAGAGTTATCTAAAGATATTCGCAAAACAAACAACAGGCATCTTCAAATAACATATCGTGACATTGCAATGTCTATGAACCAAACCGCCCCTAACGTCTAGTAGTATAAAAAATGAAGTTATCCTGGAAGATTAAATATAAGGATAAACAAGTTAGAGCTTCCTCCAACCATGTCAGAACACAAGACAACGCACGCCAAAGTAATATCAGTTTTGCTAGGATTGAAGGCAGGTGGAGAAAATGAAAATCAATCGCAACAAGTTTTAAAATTTTGTGAAGGTGCGAGTAGAGTTTAAAATCCTTATTGATTTCTAACTGCGTCTAATCCAAATCTAATAAACTCATCAGTTCACTGTTTAGAATAACTGATCCAATTCTAAGACAGAAACCCGGGTTCACTCATGGAAGCAATGTACAACACCAAGAAGAGAGTATACTAAGAGCATAAAAATTTCAATTTTCCTTTTTTACAGTGTTTGGGCCGTACTGACCAACTAATTGACAAGACTGCCCAATCATTCATCGTTATCCAAAGAAGAACACGGGGTTTTAAACCACGAAGGAGAAAATGCTAGAAAGCCATGTTTGTAAATGGACGTAATGTACGAAGCCAACTAAAGTTTAACCAAACCCCTAAAATGTCGATTTCTCAATTTCGCACTATGTTAGTCACTTGCAACAACCCAATCCCACTATAAGTGTGCCAAATCCCCTGTGGTATCCTCTACAACCAAAGAAGGACGCCGATCTTTCAAATACAAAGGGAAAAGTGAATCACCTGAAAAGGAATAGAATAATAGCGAGGCTCTCCGGTTTCCCCGTGGGGCATCGCAGCCATGTTAGCCTCTCCTCCGTCTGGAAACTCGATGAACTTGGCACGGTGGACGCTCTCACTGTCAGACGTGGGATTCAGGGAGAAGAGTATGGATCCATAGAAGCCGGCAAGGAAGAAGACGGAAGAAGAGAAGAGTGCGATGGGAAGTCCCACCTTCTTTCTCCACAGCGATCTTTTCCCACTGGCTTTCATGGTGGGATTCCCCGCCGACCGCGGTGGGGGATGACGGGTTCCGGTGCTTCTCGTTGAAGACTCGACCAATCGTACATTTTGTACATATATGATACTTTTTTCGTACATATATGATACTTTAATATTTAACTTTATTTTAAAATAAATTTAATATTTTTAGTTTATTTTTATTAAAAGTTGCCACTTGCCACATACAAATTTCCTAATTTGCATATTTAATATAATATTGAAGCTATCATTATCATTACCTTTTTAAAATCGAAATGCACATTTTCATTAAATAATTTTATAATATAAAAATATTATAAATAAAAAAATAAAATTGTGAGGAAGATTTACATACATACCACTCAGTTTAAGAATTTTTTTTTTTGGAATAATTACATTCAGACCACTCTAAACAGTGTTATTTACAAATCAAACATCCAAGTGATTTGATAAAAATAAAACATATGGGGTGGGGCTTTATTATGAATGTTGATATTTGAGTGATAATTGATAACTAGCAATGTTGGCCATGTATGTAATTGTTTTTTTTTTTTTTTTTCTTTTTTTGAGCACGTAATTTTAAATCATTTTATATTATTTTTAGTAATGTACGCATTCGAATTTATTAAATTAAGAACCACTAAAATATAATTTGAGCTTAATATACATTATTTTGTTTTTAAATATTGGGTAATGTGGAGACCCGATTCACCGTAATTTAATTAGTTTTCTAATTAAAAATCACACTTATCACTCACCTACCACATCCACCTATCGCTCACCTATCTCTCACATACCGCTCTCCTAGTTTCTATAAATAGTCTCTTATGACTTGTCATAAGTCACAAGCAGAAAGAGAAGAATAGAGGAATAAAATAGATATATGGCAAGACGTTCGACGGTGTAATTCCTCGAAGTAGTAAAATCCTCTACAGCTCCGTGGACGTAGGCAAATTTGGCGAACCACGTAAATTTGTGTGTCGCTCTGGTGTTTTTCTGCGTGCAATTTTTCTCATTCTATTTTTTGATTTATTATCGTTGTTTTTCACAACAACTGATATCATAGTTTTTTGTTCGGATCTAAGGAAAAATAATGGGCTGAGACGAAGTGATGACATCAAAGATCGAGAAGTTCAATGACACAGATTTTGCTTACTGGAGGATGCATATAGAGGACTACATCTATAGGAAGAAACTTCATCTTTCGTTACTTGGAAAGCGACCGGAAAAGATGGACTAGGCGGAATGGAATCTGTTGGATCGACAGATTTTAGAGGTTATTTGATTAACCCTATCGAGATTAGTTGCCCACAACGTCATCAAGGAGATGGCTACTGCAGATCTCATGACGGTTTTATCAGGCATGTATGAAAATTCATCGGTGAATAACAAAATGCATTTGATGAACAAGTTATTCAACTTAAAAATGTTGGAAAGTGTCTCTGTTTCTCAACACCTGAATGATTTCAATACTATCGCAAATAAATTGTCGTCTGTTGAAATTGATTTAGATGATGAGATACGTGCGTTGATATTGTTGGCTTCATTGTCAAATAGTTAGGAAGCTATGAAGACGACAGTTAGCAGTTCTGCAGGTAAATCTAAGCTAAAATATGATGATATTCGTGATTTGATTTTGGCTGAGGATGTATGTAGAAAGGATTTTAGCGAGGCCTCGTGTTCAAGTTCGGCGTTGAATGTTGATTTGAATGTTGATTCCAGAGGGGTTGATTCCAGAGGGAGATCACATGATAAGAACTCAAACAGAGGAAGATCAAAATCAAAGTATGGTCAACAGACAACATGTTGGAATTGTGGCAAGGTTGGCCACATAAAAGGAACTGTTGGAATCCTAACAAGAAGGAGAATAATGGTGTTAATATTGTATCTGATGAAATACAAGATGCATTATTGCTGGCAGTTCACAATTCTGTTAATGATTGGAAACTGGATTCAGGGGCTTCCTTCCATACATCTTCTCGTCGAGAGTTAATGCGAAATTATGTTGCAAGTAACTTTGGGAAGGTATATCTGGCTGATGGAAAAGTTATGGACGTGATGCGGATGGGAGACGTTGATATTGTACTCCCTAACAAGCACAAATGGACTTTGCAAATGTCAGACACATTCCTGAGTTGAAGAAAAACCTCATCTATGTTGGGAAGCTCAATGAAGGTGGTCATTCGGTGGTGTTCTCAGATAGCACTTGGAAGGTTACCAAAGGAGCATTAGTACTGGCTCGGGGTAAGAAAATTAACACACTATATATGACTACAGGTTTATTCAGGCGAGGACACATGAGTCAGAGGTGCATTATGGGGAAGCAGAAGAATGTCAGTATCCTGAAAAGTGGCAGAGTGCCAAAGGTAGGAAAACCAAACCTTGTAAATGTTAGAGAACCACAGAGCTATGAAAAAATCTTGCAAGATGAGAATTCGATCGAGCAAGTGGGAGCTGATGCTGATCAAGAAGGAGGAGACGGATTCCCTACCAGGGAATCAGACTTGGGAGCTGGCAGAACTTCTATCAATGAAGAAGGCATTGCACAACAAGTGGGTGTACCGGGTGAAAACTGCGTTTGATGGCAGTGAGAGGTATAAGGCTAGACTTGTTGAAAAGTGCTTTCAAGTGCTTTCAATAATAGGGGCATGATATTGCTCATGCAGTAGGAGTTGTAAGCAAATACATGAGTAACCCATGAAAGAGCTTGGTGGTACAAGACTACGTTGACGGTGATATGTCAACTTAGAGTGTTACTCGTGAGAAGCTGAAGTTGTGCTCGACTTCAGCTGGTCTTCTAGCATGAAGACCCGGGCTTTGAGTTGCGGAGGTGGAGGATATTTTGAGGAAAATGTCGTGTACAGCTAGTAGAAGATGCAGGCAATAAGTGATGCAGTTAATGTCCCACTCTCCAAGTGGGAGAATTGTTATGTAATATGACAACCCGGTCCACTGCAATTTAATTAGCTTCCTAATTAAGAATCCCACCTACCTTCCCACCTACCGCTCTCATATTTTCTATAAATAGTCTTTTATGGCTTGGCATAAGCCACCCGTAGGGGGGTAAACGAGCCCGCGCCCG